ACTACAATAAATTCGCTGAAGATAGTCATTACACTGCGTTTTTAAACAAATCTAGGTGATGTTACTGGTGAAGTAGCTATCTACCGCAACAAAAAACTAAAAAAAAATTGTTGAGAAATTGCAACAGATAATCTAAGAAAAACGCTTTGCTGAGTTCGGTATATGAATAAATTCTTCTAAAAACTTGGCTCAAAGGGAAAATTTTTTTACATTGTCAAGTTTCACTAAAGTTTTTATTTGTCTTCCCACTTCCCAAAACATTCTGCTATAACAGAATTTGCAATGCAATGAATACATGGAACCTAATTTGTCAGTGGGCTCGCGGAATAGAATGTTCAAAGTTAAAACCACCAGTGAATAATTGCTCTTTGAATTGTATAATTACTGTAAATGCCGCTGCGGCTCGTCTTGCGATTTTCATCGTTGGTCATCGAGTTTTGCTGTTTTACACATAGAATATTTGACTTTATTTGACGAACTGTTGGAGAGGATTATTCACATAACTTTGTTTGCTTTCTTTAATTCAACTTTTTGAGAGTCACGTATTTTTGACAATAGCAACCGAGAACTTTTAGGCAGTTGAAACAGAACACTGTTCAGTGCTTCTTTACTTGTGTCTTTGACTTGAAAGTTAATTTCAGGTACAGTGGTGTTTGTAGAATCTACAAAGCGATAAACAACATCTTTTTCTTCGCGTCCGTTTTAACATTTATTTTTCTTTTTTTTTATATTTCTTGAAGAAAAAAATTTGTGTGTGATAAAGGACATAATCCTGAGAAGAGCTTGAAATGTCTTCACAATTTTGAGATTTTTGGGACTGCAGCCATCAGAGTTTCACCGCCCTCCCCTTGCGCAGCTTTTCATTCCGCTTGCCGCATTTCTAATTGTGTTGAACGAGAAAAGAACGACAATAGAATTTGAGCTTAACTCTTTTTCCTGCACTGGATCTTACTGGTGGTGTTCTACGGATGTAACCGTTGATGGAATGCCAAAATCATTTAAGTCTGAGCTGTGACTGATAAATGTCAGTTTCTGGTTTCTTCAGAAATGTTGTTTTACGGAATCAGATATCATGTCGGAGTTATTAATGTTAATTCTCTAATTTAACTGCTTAAAAGTTTTTGCATAAATCAGGTTGTACCTAAGTTTGTAATCAACAGTGTCTTTGATTTATTCTTTTATTCTCTCTTCCAACAAACCAAATGCAGTGACATTGAAGAAGATAAAGGTACACTACTAAAAGAGACTATAGAAGGGCTAGAAAGAAGTGTCTCTGTTACAAAGAGAAAACTTTCATTAATTTTACATACAAGGGTGTTGCATTAGCGTTATTTTTTTGCCTGTCTATACGTGATTGCTGGGTTGGCTGATAATTTTTTGATTACGCTTATATTGCCTACTATGCTGGTCTGCTTACCGTCGGTACATTTTATGCATATCATATTAACAAATAAATTATGCGTTACAAAAATCTGACGACAAAATACCAATACCTTCAGATTTGCTTTAGTAGTCATTCTAAGGACAGTCTCAGGACGAAATGCCAAAGCTAAACGACAACGCTTTTCGTGAAATCATTGTTCTAAGGCCCATAAAAGTTTTAACGAATTTATACTGCTGTAGGTCATAAAAACACTCACAAATGTAAATAAAAGTTTTATAGAACGTATAATTGGAAACATAAATAATTATAGTAAACAAATAATTACATTACACTATGACAGCAACGATTTCTAACTGGACAGTTGAATTTCAACAAGGTTTTTCTTAAACAACCTATACAACGAGCTACCTTTTATCATTATGTTAGTGCCAGACATTGGCCTACATTCCTACACAGTTTCATTATGCTGTTCAATATTTTGACTCTTATTAATATTATTAATATTAACATTAATATTACTAATGTAATAATAATAATAATAATAATAATAATAATAATA